ACAACATACCCTTGACCAGTAGATTGTCGGATTGTCGGATTGTCGAACCCCGGCCCTATGAAAGGAAAGTGAGAATAGTTAGACATTGTGAAGGTGACGATCTCGCAGAGTGTGTGTCTATCGGAAATGCTCCAAAACCCGCATCTTTAAATTTGGGCCGCGAACAAACTAAGCCCACAAGACTTAAGGGTTTTATAAAGGACTTAGAACTAAAACTACAGCTTTAAATTTGGGCTGCGAACAAACTAAGACCACAAGACTTATAAGGCCAAATGAGTTTTTTATAAAATATCTAAAACAAAATCAAAATTATTTCAGCCTGTCGGGTACGGGCGTCCGTGCCCGATGTGTAGGATCCAACACAGAATGGGCAGATCCGTATACTCGGAACATGGAGAGAGAGAGAGAGAGAGAGAGATTTGGTTTAAGAAAAGACGGAAGGAATGGAAATGTATCAGAGAACCTTCTTCAAGGTTGTTACCAAGGATCTTCTTCATATCCAAGATCTTATCAATTGAAAGAGGGATCTTCTTCATGATCCAAGATCTTATCAATTTCAATTAAAAGAAAAATTATTCATCATCCAAATCATCTTATCAATTGAAAGATTAAAACTGTTCAATTCTTATCCTTCGAAAACTTCGAAAAGATAAATCTTTTGAACGAGAAAAATATTTCTGAGTAAAATTATAGATCTCATAAATAATTGCCTTTCAAAAGTTAAGATTTGGTGTGTACGAACAAAGAGTACTGCGATGAGCGATGAGCTGAGAAAGTGGGTATAGTTTGTCGCAAATAAGTAGGTGTGCCTAGGACGTTAGGTGAAACGCACTTCCTAAATAGGCGCGTGAATGTGCAGGTAAAAGAAACCTAGGCGTGATATTCAAGACGAAAAATTCCTTTCTCTCGCCTCCATCTCAGCTGGACATGTTTATTAACGCGATGAATATTTGATTTTGTACAAGATGTTAATTTTGTACGTATATATGTTTCTTAACATGAATATGTTTCTTTGTAAAATGAACATGTCAACTTATAAGATGAACATGTTATGTTATAAGATGAATATGTTTTATTATCAGCTGAATATGTTAAATTATAAGATGAACATGTTTCTTTCTCAGATGAACATGTTTATTAACACGATGAATTATGTTAATTTTGTACAAGATGAATAGTTGATTTTGTACGCAGTATGTTTCTTAACATGATGAATATGTTTCATTGTAAAATGAACATGTCAAATTATAAGATGAATATGTTATATTATCAACTAAATATGTTAAAGGGATCAGCCTATCAAAAAGTAAGCGCGTATGCGCCAGTCTTTGACTTTCTTATAAAATGAATATGTTTACAATAAAATAGGCATCTGCACTTCATGATAGCAAATATTTTCGGATTCCACTTTTGTTAACCTTGGCCCGCGCGTGAATTTCTGCCCTGTCACACCTAGCAAGGTGTGTCAGGGCACACAGTAGTACTACCGATAGTTTGTCCTCAACTAATAAATATATAATATAATGAAACTCTAACTGCGCCGAAGAGTTGGCCCCATTCTGTCCATAATTTATTGGTTGTGTTTTAAGGATAAGTAGACATGTCAAAACGATAACGAAAATCTTATCTTATTTTCTCTTATCTACTAGTGGGATTCCGGCTGTTCATGCCTAATTTAGTCAATAATAAATAAAAACTTTGTGTGCTATCAATGACATAATATATAAAAATTAATTGGAAGTTAATATAAGTAGTAAGATTAAAATATCTCCAAAGTTGAGCTTGGAAATTATTAATCTTCTTAATACTATAGTCACCAATAGAACATCCATCCTCAAGTTCTATTCTCATCATGATATACATGTCATAAAAGAAATCTAACTGGACAAATTTATTTTTTTTTAGTTTTGTTACTTGAACCTTCAATTAGACTACTTGTGTAAAGCGCAATTTCTAGTTACAAATCAAGGAAATCAAGAAAAGAAAAGAGAAATTAACATGGATGAAATGAGTACATGGAAGCACGAATGGGGCAGTATACCAGATCGGGTTTGTTTCTGTCTCTACAGCTGGTATTTAACTAAACCTGCACGATCAATCAAAGTGTAAATTAAAGTTTTACATGATTGAATGACGGGTATGAAATGCTTCTAAATGAAAGAAAAGTGGACCAATAGGACACAAAGATATTCATCAACTAATGATTATGTCAATCAGGTGGAGTGATTTGGTATTATATCAAATAAAAGACCATATCATATAAAACACAAAGTACGATGTGAAGAAGTTAGTAACAAACTAAAAACCACAATAACTATAGAAAACAAATGAAACTATAAGTGCATAAGTTGATAGCACTCAAAAACACAAAGAGAAAATAAAATGAAAATCCAGCAAATGCATTTTCTACATCCCAATTGTTTATATTTTCAGCATTGACTTGCATAGGGATTATATATCGTCATAGCAAATACAAATTAAATATTTATTTATTTTACCCGATTCCAGAAAACTATAAAAAAAATCTAAAAATATATTTCCTACATTTATGTACCGATTTATTTTATGCAAGAGGGTATCTCATTAAATATTTCACTGTTTAGCTCCAATAAAATATAACTTAGCCGAGCACATATTTTAAAGCAAGCAAACTACTGAAAATAATTGTATATCTTCATTCAAAACGGAATCAACAGTTAATAAGAAATCAATGCACTCAATGCAGAATGAACCAGGACAGAAATATAGCAATGAGAAAACACTGAGTATAACTTTATCATTTATATTTGATGTATAACAAATCATACAGTGAATTATGTATATAATTGAAGGGCTTGAGTAATGTTTACCCATCAAGCTTCATATTATGGCGCGAGAAAAAAACTAATGTCTAGGCCGAGAAGAGAACAGTCCATGATCTGGATGTTGAAAAAATAATGCCGTGCTGAGCATAAAAATCATAGTTCTGAAAACCGGACCAGACCGGCCAGTTCGACCGGTTCAACCGGGAACCGAACACCTCAGCGATCTGGTCTGGGGTGTTAAACCGCCTGGATGTCAAAACCGGTTGAAAACCGTTAGGACCGTTCAGAAACTGTTAAAACCGGCGAACCGGACACGGTTCCAGCGGTTGGGCGGTCTTGCTCATTGGCATATTCTCACTTCATTAAAAACACTCAATAGCTTCGTTATTTTCCCGATGTGGGACTCTCTTTCCCCCTTTTCCTATTCTTCTTCTTTGTAGCTTTTTACTTGGGCCTGAGTCAAAAGCCCAATTAAGTTAATTAATGTTATAGCCCAAAAGAATTGAGAATGATTCTACTTTTATTCCTGACTGGTTCTTTCTAGCTTTTACGGGGGCCTTTTTCTTTTTAATATATGATGAATACAAAGTGCAAACTTATTCAAATTCAATAAGCCCAATTAATACTATTATAAACTAAATTTAGAATTTACAAAAACATCTTACGAATTTAGAATTTCCAAAAAAAAAAAAAAAAAAAAAAA